ACTYCAGTGGGCTTGCATTCAAACCTTCAAAACTTTGGCCAAACTCATGACTGTTCCCAGCTGAGACTTTAATTAAATGGTGTTGGATATGAGAGTTAAACCTGGAAGCTCTATTCTATTACACTAGTTTGTGTTGCTGAAAGAAATAGAGCCATGCTTCTTGATTGAAGAGACAGTGTCAAGTGAATAATTCGCAACAAATAATTAGTCTAAATGTTTCTAAGTGATTCTTACAGAATCTGGGTACGGTTGAGAAAGATCCCTATTTATTTGTGCCATAGGACTCCCTTTCACAAGGGGAAAGTTTATTTTTRTAAGATGAATGAGTTAAAGTATAGACTTGCAACTTCTTGAGTCATCAGACCCAGAAAACATCTGTGCTATATTAGTTATTTAGTACAATCTTTCAAACAAAAACATTTGAGTGTGCTTTAACTGATGGGTATATGATGACTGACATTCCAGCACCTCTTCTGYGCACACCTACGCTGGCATACTTTCATGCATAGGAGTAATCCTAATTAATTTGGGAAAATTACTCTTGTGCATGAATGTATTCATTAGTATTTGAAACACTATGGTATGGTGAGTCTTCTAGATATAATCTTGATCTTACACTTAAAGGTGCCCACAATGTCCCATCCGGTTTTAGGGCTACCTTAGCACTAGTACAAACAGGCCAGCACCCAGTCCTTCCCCCGAGGGCTTTAGCACRGCCAGATTCTCCTCCTTTCAAAGCAGTGGCCTCATCTCTGCTGTCTGGAGGGAGCTGTCCTTTGTCTGTGTTATCTCCTGAATGTGTGCCTCGTGTGGCATGGAAAGTGCAGGGTCACAGGGGACAGCCCATGTCGGGAAGCTTTTTGCTGGTTAAATGGTGTGGACAATCACACAGCAGCTCTTGAGTGCATGTCCTGACTCTGTTTAGTTTGCAAGTGCAAAATGTAACTGAAATAAATGTTTGTGTTCATTTTATGTCTTGAAGCTTTGCTGAGGTATCGTTGCTCCCATCTTCTCCTTACAGGAGAGAGCAGCACTGTTGTTCCCTTCAGCACTGTGCTTTTGGGGGCATTTTGGCTGGGTTTCTGTCCCAGTGATGCTGAGATGCTGAAGAGTTTTGCCCAAGAAACTTGCAGGGAAACAATCTTTCTCAGTGTGTTATGATTCTTCCTTTTCAGAATTAAGATTTGATGCAGCCTAAGTATTTTTTTTTTTTTTTAAATAAATGCCATTTCAGTTTCTTACAAGGAAATGGTTGGCTAAGGTATTGAAGGGTTGCAAAGTTACATCACTAAGAAGGATGGTTTAATTTTAAATAGTGGAGAACGTTGGTAGTGTCAGAAGCAACAAGAAAATAAAACCAATGAACCAAAGATGTAATACAGAGTTTGAACTTAAAATTTGTATTTTTTAAGATTTCTAAATATGTAGATTCTGCTTTGCAGATAGTGCGTACTCAGTGCTGCTGCCTGAAATTTTTAAATGCCTCCACAGGTTGTCACACCAGGGAATTGTTATGATCTCCTTCCAAAACAGGTAACTGTACTACATGAAGTGATTTTCACCCTGTTGTATGTATTTCTGTTAACTGAAAGGAAGCCTAAGACTTCTTAGGTGACCACCGGGGATGTATWACAGAGCTCTGGAAAGTTTATAAGATAAATTCCAGCCTGCCTTYTCTTAGGAAGCACCTAAAATGGAGCTGCTCTAGTTATTATTACTTGAGATACTCTGCTCATTTATTAATGCTATTTACAAAGAGATTATTTATGTAAGGTAAATGATTGTGAAAAGAAAAGCTACTTYCATCATTAAATCAAACTTCACCCTGACGTTAAGATAGGATTTAACATATTGAGCTAGAAAAAAAACATTGTGTAGGATGCGAGGGATTGCCCCTCAAAATTTATTTGCTGCTTAAAAGCTGCACACTGTTSCACCTCTAGCATTGCAGGTATTTTGTTTTTTACCTGGCTACTGCTCGCTTATCGTCCTTCCYGGTTTGACTCGTGCAGAAGAATGTTTCCCATTGGGTTATTTTGTAACATCTTTCTGCAAAGCGCTTGAACATTAGTGCTTGCTCCAGGAAAAGGTGAGTTAAGACGTGTTTTTATGTGTCCTGATGGCTGCCTTGATTCATCAATACTAAAAAGGATGTCTTTATTGACACTGAGTGCTTTCCAAAAGTGTTCTTTCCCCCGTTCCTGATGTGTTGCTTAACACAGCCAGCTTAAGCTTGCCACACTCAGTTTTATGTTGCATTGGTTGGTTACCTCTTTCTGTTAACTTTCCATGCACAATTTAATTAAGCTGTGAATAATGGGACGTGTTATCAGATGGTACAGTTATTAACTTCAGTGAAGTGTTGTGTGATGAACCAGCTAAAGATCTGGACAATAATTTATACATTCTTCACATTTAACTGTCAGTGCATTTTGGATGAAGATAGCTACCAGCATGTGTGATTGCAGCCCTGCTGCTGAAAGAGGTGTGTCTGTTTATGCCACTGAAGTGCTTGACTGTTGGTATAAATATAATGGCATGGTAATTACTGGTTATAGATACAATGAAGATCAAACTTTTTTTTTTTTTTTTTTTTAAATCCAGAATACTTCTGTTATCCTGGAAGCATGCTTCCTATCTTTTCACATAAATAACCAAGAGAATGACATTTCATAGTTAGAAAACTGGGTGAAACAAGTCATAATGATTGATTTCTGCAAATATTTTTCTATGTATTAATTGCTTATGCACTGTGAATAGAATTCTCAGGTGCCCTTCTATACAAATTATTCATGACTTATTTTAGCTAAAAAACAGCAGCAACTAAAAGAATACCTTCATACAGTTGGTAATGTTCATACTTGCTATTTGTATAAGCAAAATGGTAACGTTTCTTTTCTCTGGTTAGGTAACTTGTGGAACAAATTAATCTAATGCWTGTGTGAATAATAGGGGAAAATTAGAAATATGCCAACACAATCTAGTTTTAAAGCTGTTTTTCTTATGTATCTGAAAATTTAAATATGTCTAGTCTCATTTCTTAGTAAAGCAAATAAAATGTATATATTTATAGAAATCAAACTGCTCTCAAATACTTTCAGATGGAAGTTGGCTTTCAACAGCAAATGTAATAAAGTTTTCTTGCTCTTTTCAGTTCATACTTAGGGCTGAACTGAAAGGTGTACGCAGTGTGACACAACATGTAGTGACTCCTCAGCAAAATGTTGCAATTCATATTGGTCAAAGTATGTAGAGTTTCAGAGCAGCGCATAATTTGTGATTGCAACAATCTCAAATAGAATACAAGCAATGGCAGCACATGAAATGAGTTTAGTGTTTCCATCTCATTCATAATTTTGACTCAGCAGTTCCAGATGATTATTAGTAGTTTCTCCAAACAGTCTGGATTGGCTGAGGGAATTCACTTTAACATACTGAAGTGTTTTCATTAAACTTGGCCTGTGCAAAAGTGGCTTTCTAAATTGGATTCACTGAACTAATCTTGGTGCCTGTGCTATTGTGTATTGCATCAAGCAACAAAATAAGCAAGAAACAAAGTGGTAAAAAATATTATTTAAACTGGAATTGAGGCAGAATTCATTAAAAGGAGAATAGGGACCATGCTCATTATAGGATTTGCTAATGCTCGTAAGTTCTTCCAGCKAAATTTAATATATGCAAATCATTATTTATGAGCAGTTATTATCAACAATGCTAATAAYTTCAATAGTACTAATAATAGCTATCTGGACTAATTAACTGTTTTAAATTGAATTTTGTAATATTTGTAAATTTTCTCACTTTTATGGGAGCTAAATAAAATCAGYCCCATTGCTTAACACACAACTTCATTTCATACAGGACAGTTCTGGTTTTGAGACACAATTTGAAGCAGAATAAAGTGGTAGTTAAGAAAGTTTCTGCTTGTGCCAACAAAATAGATAGAGGAATAAATTCAACATAAATTTGTGGAGCATGTTTTCTCTGTTAGTATGAAACCAATTTATTCTGGTGAATGCAGAAGGCTCACTTTAGTTTTGTGTTGGAAACACTGTTTAGATGGGGGGMTGGTCTTCTTGTGTTGGTTCTTTTCTGTTTTTCTGGTTAGAAAGAAAATGATTTTACGATCTATTTTTGTTTGGGTTTTTTTCTTATTCTTTCCTGATTGTGAGGGGGGGTAAAAAAAAGAGAAGAAAAATCTTGACCTAACTATAAAAAGAAAGTAGTTGGCAAGTTGATGGGAGCACAGAAAAGGGGATCTCCTAGCTTTTRTGATGACCTGATCAAAATGGTTTAAGCATGATAATGCTTAAATGTTGTGCATTAGTCTGCAGATTCCATGGGACCGTGTTCTATTTGGTCAGTGAGGTACAGTGCATATGAACCCTATGTAAGGCATAAAAATAAGTGTGAATGATAACAATGCAGATAATATTGCTTCTTCTAAATAATAATTAATGCTAATTAATGTTGACTCTGTGTGTTGTGGCTTGGATGAAACTCTGGCAGGAACTGGCAGACATGCTGATATGAAATCTCCACCCACAAGGATCTGCTGAAAGAGCAGTATCTGGTGTAAGGGGATCTGCCCTTTTAAGTGCAAAGAATACAAAGGTTTTTTAATTGTTTTTTGCTTTTGCAGAGAAAACAAGCTTGTAGCTTTAGAGTCGGTCTGCATGCTCACGTCTCCAGGAGGTACAGACRTGGAACAAATGCAGGATCAGATCGTGTTCCTTATGTGAGCTTATAAATAGTGTTGCATGGAAATAGCACACATAATCCAATGTTCCCCTGCAATACCGGCCCCTTCCCATGTAAAGATCTTGACGCCAAGGCATTTGCTGAGGACAGACAATGTCCTTTCCCGAGCTGGGTGGGAGGCTGCTGAGCCACGCTGCTGTGGGGCTGCTCCACAAGATGCAGGAAGGCAGGCTACACAAACTGGTGCCAAYAGGGAGGCTGACGCCTCCTCACTAGGCTTTGGTAAATCAGTATCTGCATGTGTGCCCGCACATATGCATACTATTTTCCCTCCRCCACTTCCCTCCCACTCTGAGCTGCCTTCCTCCCCACACTGCCCTTGAGTCAAGAGGTCAATGATACCACTTCTTTTTTCATCAGTCACTCTTTTCTGCCTGTGTTTTATCCTCTAGTTGTTGCTTTCCTTTTTTCCAGTGGAGGGGCAGCAGGAGTCATTTGGCGAATTTAATGTTTTTCTGGGAAGGAAAGGATAAGACTTAAAAAAACAGGATGCCTTCAGGCAAAATGTGATATTCAATCAAAATTCATTTTCGTAAGGGAGGGGATTTTTCTTACCAGGGAGGGAATTTGCCCCAACAGAGCAGTTTTACCCACATTCCTCTCAAACGAGGAGCCTGTGTGCAATCCRTGTCAGGGAAGATCAGGGACTGAATGATCAGTTGCCATCATGAAATAATCCAGCTTCCCAGAGGTAGAGGAAGAGAATGGAGTTGCACATGGCCTTGAAAACAAGAAGGAAAAGGAGAGAAGGAAGTGCCAGGTTGTTCCTGTCTAAGTGGGGAGCGTTGCAGGGTCCCTGGTGACTGTGTGACCAGCAAACACCCTCRCTGAGAGCTGTGGCCCAGGCAAGAGCAGCCCTGTGTCTGCAGCAGCTGCCACTCGGAGGGGATATGCTTGAGGAGAACYGGGCCTGTGGAGCTGTATTAACTGGCATTTCAAAGGTGAGATATTCTGTTTTCTTGTTTGTTTATTTGCTTCCCACTGGGRGATCAGTTGTGTGTTGAGATGACACACCTCCTTAGCAAATCCATTGATTCAGCGTTTAGAAGATCATGTTTCTTTGTGGTGCAGAGTTATTTAATACAATATTTGTGGTAGGCTGATGACACTTGTGATGATCAAAAAGAATAAGTTGTGTATTTTTTTAAGAATGTGTTAAACCAGTTCTGTCAAAATAGAGATAATAAATGCCAGCAATTGTTTAGTCAGTTAAAAAGGAATCATTCCCAACATTTTTTTAAACATTGTAGGTAATGTTTTGGCTGAATATGTATGAAGARCCTGTACTTACCTCTGCATTTCTGAACCTGAGCACAGAATACTGTAGTTGTTTTGTATGATTCTGAAATCTGAAGAACTGGAATATTTCCCTCGTGATGACAAAGAATGTCTGCATAAAGTAAACCAACTTTAAATATTCCAGTTTCATCTGCTAAACTGCTCTGGCAGGRGCTAAATGCTAGGATAGCAAAGGTAGACTACACCTTCCTTCTTAAGCTGAGGAAGCTGGTAGGAAGGTGGGCAGGGACCAGGGAGATGGCACAGGTTCTGCCAGTTTGGTGGAAAGTTATTATTGGAAATCCCAACAGACCAGCTTGGGACTGATCTTACTTAACATTTTCCTTAATGCCTTGGGTGTAGAAGGTTGGAACTGACTGATGAAATTCTCTGCTGACAAAAGACAAGGAGACATATTGTCAAAGTAGAGGTAATGTCCAGTTCTTCCCAGGCAAGGACTGTGAGGACAGGAATAGGGAAAACTAAATATTTAATAGCTGAGGGCTTCTGCCTTTAGTGGAAATGGTTGTTCCCTAGAAGACAATGCAGCAGGATTGTCTGCATTGGGAAAGAGGTGGGAAAGAAAGTGGCAGAGAAAGATTTGAATATGCTAATTGRCTACAGAATAACTGTGAGCTTCTGGTGCAATCTGGGAAAAGCCAAGTGGAAACAGAGGGGTCATTAATGGATTAGGGTTGCAGTTAGGAGRTTACTGAAAATGAAATTCTGTTATRATCTTCCAGCTGGAGTAAGAAGAGCAGCAAACCTAACCGGAACTYCATGAACTGATGAACAGGGCTCTTGATTCAGAAGTTAACAGTATTAGGGGACAGTTTAATGACACAAGGCTAACACAGACCTTATTTTCAATCAAAAGGGCATGTGTGCTTTATTTAGCTGCATAGTGCATATAGAAAGGGAAATTACTGTTGATATTGCTGATTAAAAGTCTGAAATTCAATAAATTTTAATATTGAATGATGATGATGTACCATTTTATTCATCTTAATTTTCATTAATTTCTCCATGTATGACATATTTTAGACTTTATGGAACTCATTATTTATAAYTGGTCTTATGTCAACAAGCAGCAAAGATCAGGCTGTCTACCTTTAGTGACAGTTGGCTAAATTTAGCAGTAGTACTTAGCAGTTCTGTAGTGCTTTAAAATTTCAAATATTAGCTAATTAGTCATCACACCAATTGCTTTAAATATGATCAGCCTTCTATAAAGATGAGTAAATATCTGTTGTTATCCATATTTCTGAGATGAGGAAATTCAGGCACTGATGGKCTGGTTATGTCCCTGTGCATATTTTTATATAGGTATTTCAAAGGCACGTATTGTTTCAAGGTCCAACAAGTCTATCTACTTGWTAGACCTGATTTGGTGACCACTGTAGCCAATAGAAATCATTCTAGCAGCTTCAAAGAYTCCCCTTGCTGCCTGATTGAATTGTGCTGCAAAAGCCATCTTCCAGACATCATCCAGCTGGTACGGTACGCTTTGAGATGGGGAGTGATGAAAAACACGTCTGCCCTGGCAGTCAGAGCCCTTAGAGTGACTGCAGGGGACAAACAAGCACCAAAAATGATGAGGTTTGCTCAGCACCCAGTGAACAAGTTCTCGAGGGGAGACTCCATGAGGGCTGTGTTTTCTAGGAAAACAATTTAAGAGCTTGAAAATATTGATAGTGAAATGATGTGATTTTTTAATGTGTTCCTAAGCAAGCATCGCATGTTGATTTTTGCAAGAAGTAGCCAGGTATTTTGACAGTCCCAACATATATTTCTCAGTCTGTTCAGACATCATGATGACTCTAAAAACCTATCCCTACATTCCAGTGCTATGTGGGAGTTAAAACTTTATATATATATGTATATATATATATATATATATGTCTGTTAAGCTTTACCTGAAAATTCTAAAAAGTAGAACATGTTTTTTATATTGCTTTTCAAAGCCTGAAGTTATATGGAGAAGAAAAAAAGGRAAAGGAAGGGAAAAMATCTTAACCTYAAGTGTAATSCTGAAAGATCATAGAAATCCTTAATGAAGTGGCCAGTAGCTCTRCAGTGTCACCWAAATGTGACATACTTAGTCAAAGTTTGACCAGTTATGTGCAGTCTTGTGGGTCAGCTGTGTTCCTTGAAAAATGGAAATAACCCTTCATAAATCAGGAGGATCATATTGTCATGTGTATTAATTCAGAGTTCTCATTTCTTGAGCATTTACTATGTTTTACATAAGAATTACTTGTTTCTGCAAATGTTCCTACCCCTTAAACTTGTTAGGATTTGTAACAGATAGCATGAAATAAGAGTAAAACCATATGGAAAATGCACTTTTATCAAAATATTTAATTTTTTTATGTTAATGTTTAATCCTAGCAGTCAGTAGTGTAGTAGAGCCCAAGTTTTGAAAGATGAACTCAAAGTGGGAAAGCAGCACAGACAGCATTTTCTTTACTGTTCTGCTGCATTCTCTTTCWTTCGCCTGTCTTCCCAGCCAGGGGTGTCTCAATATAAGGGAAATATCACCAGTAATAAGAACACAGAACAATCCACAGTGCAAGCCCTRTGCTGTGCTCCCAAACAAAGCTTTTCATGTTTGTTACTTGCTACTCAGCAGCCATCGGGAAATGACAGATGCTGTAAGGAAGACCCCTCCTTAGCCTTATTTCTCTAAAGAAATCATGATGAGAAAGAGTCGTGTTCCTCCACATGCCTCAAGGTGTCAGATATTATTGGGGCATTGCAGTCAAACCGGTGTGTTTACAGCAGATCAAAGAGGTGAAATGAGCCAGAGATGAAGGCTGCTGAACCAAACCCCCACCTGCTGCTGCGTGTTGGCTGCACGTGTTGTCAGCATTTACACTCAGCAATGTGGGATCGGTACTCATGCAGCAACATGGCAGCTGTTATGCGGGGTTTCTGTTACCAGGTAACCTTCAGCACGTGAGGGGTTGTTTCTTTCTCACCTTGGTAATCTTAGAATAGAATAATATAATATAATAAAATCATAGAATGGCTTGGGTTGGAAGGGACCTTAAAGATTATCTGGGTTTGACCCCACTGCCATAAGCAAGGACACCTTCCCATAAAACAGGTTGCTCAAAGCTGGCCTTGAACACTTCTAGGGATGGGGCATCCACAGTTTCTCTGGACAATCTGTTCCAGTGCTGCAYTACCCTCTCAGTAAAGAGTTTTTCCCTTGTATCTAATCTAAATCTGCTCTTTCAGTTTGAGGTCATTCCCCCTTATTCAGTTCACTACATGCTCTTGTATAAAGTTCCTCTCCATCTGTCTTGTAGCTCCCGTCAGGTACTGGAAGGCTGTAATTAGGTCACCCCAAAGCCTTCTCTAGGCTGAACAAACCCAATTCTCTTAGGCTTTACTCATTGGAGAAGTGCTCCATCACTGTGGTCATCTCTATGGCCTCCTCAGGGCTCAATCCAACAGGTCCATGTCCTTCCTGTGCTGGGACCCTAGAGCTGGGTTCAGCACTGCAATGGGGTCTCAGCAGAGCAGAGGGGCAGAATCCCCTCCCTCCCCCACTGCCCACGCTGCTTTGGATGCAGCCCAGGACACGCTTGGCTCTCTGGGCTGGGAGTGCCCATGGCTGGCTCCTGTCCAGCCTCTCCCCCACCAGCACCCCAAGTCCTTCTGGGCAGAGCTGCTGTCCGTCTGTCCATCCCCAGCCTGTGCTGATACCGGGGCTGCCCTGACCCAGGTACAGCACCTTCTACCTGACCTTGTTAAACCCATGGAGTTCCCATGGACTCACTTCTTGAGCTTGTCCAGGTCCCTCTGGGTGTATCCCTTCCTTCAGGGGTGTCAACTGCACTGCCAAGCTTGGTTTTATCTGCCACCTTGCTGAGGGTGCACTTGATCCCACTGAAACTTCCTGTTTCTTGGTTAGTGTTCCAGAGGGGACCCTGCAGTGGAAATGTGTCTGAAAGAAGAGYGGCAGCTATGGTATGGCTAAGCAGGCAGTTTTATTGGCTGTTTTGCCACTTATACTCCTGCTCTCCTTGTTCTCAGCCCTGGAGGGGACATACCCCTTAAACTTTTAGGTCCACTCAATTCCCARATTTCTCCAGATACCTTTACATTCTTTCCTTATAGCTTATATCTGTTTAAGTATTTTTGTCTGATTGGCTTCGGAGTAAATGTAGATCAAGATTGCATTTCCTCACTCCTCCAATCTGTCTTTTTTTTTTTCACCATGTGGGATTTGTTCTTCCTTCTTATGTGTTTTCTCTGTGAGCAATATCGTTGCTTTTTCCTTAGAGTATTTAGGAGRACAATTTCACTCCTGTCACCCAGATGCCATGTGTGTTTCAGACAACAGAACCTTCTTTCACATTTCCCCTTTCCCCTTGTGTTCATGCTCCTGAGATAAACAGATTTGTTCAGACAGAACATCAGAATTGTAGCAGTGAGACAATTTTTMGTTTGACAATGTGATGGTGTATGGATTATCTAAAGGAAAAGCATGGCTTCAGACCATGGCTAAGGCACAAGAATCTGTTTCTTAAACCTGGCTTCCTGTTTCTCCCATTCCTTGAGCTGAGCATATAGCATAACTCTGTGCCCCACTTTTCCACATGCAACCTGMGGATAATGGATTCACTTGTTTCATGAGGCTTAGAATGAAGGT